CATGAACTTGCACAAGCATGCACACAATACAGACGCTTGCACACACGTACACGGTACAGGTACAGATGTGTACATGAACTTGCACAAGCATGCGCACAATACAGACGCTTGCACACACGCATACGTTACAGGTACAGATGTGTGTGTGAACTTGCACACACATGTACACTATACAGGCACAAACATATGCATGCACATCCAATAAGGCACACGCGTACACAGACATGCACTGCGTGAGTGTTCTCCCTTCTCCTTCTCTAACGCAGCCCAGCAGGCACATGCAGACCCCAGGGAAGTGTGGCTTCGTGACAGCATAGGGATTTGGGGTAAAGCGTCCCTGCCGGTCTGTCCCTCCGCGGAGCGAACCTGCTGGTTTCTCACAGATGCGTTCGCCACCCCCCATCCGCCGCACGCTGAGTGTCTCCTGCATTTCAAGCCTGGAGGGTCCCAAGTGGGTCCGACCCACAAAGAGATCACTCTGAGCACGTCGGGGACCGTGTGATCCAATGACCTGGTGGCCCTGAGTCAGGCCTGCTGGGTTCCGCCGGGGCCCTTGGGGCACGGGGGGCAGTGGGAGCCGTGGCCACAGCTCTGCACTGATGAGCGCGGGCATTGCCAGTCTTCTGTGTTTGCAGAAAAGAAGCGTGGCGGATCCCACCATGTGTCTCCACGGCCACGGCCACACGGTAGCAGGAATTCCTCCCTCAAAAGCGGCAGATTTCTCAGCGGGGTGGATTTTCGCAGTTTTTGATGTTTTTCTATAGTTTCATATGAACCTGTGGTTTTCTTCGGGAATTGTAGGACTTCTTCCTTCTTTAAAAGATGTACTAATTTGAGGGAAAGTGCCAGTGGGGGTTGCGGAGAGGCAGAGGGAGAGAATCCCAAGCAGAGCTCAGAGCTCTGAGGCTCGATCTCAGGGGCTCGATCTCAGGATCCTGAGATCATGATCTGAGCCCAAAAGGAAGGCTGATGCTTAACCGACTGACCGCCCAGGTGCCCCCCGAACTTTTATGACTTTTTAAGGAACGTGCATACCCAGTTAATCTGGTTCATGGGATGGGGCAGAAGACAGTCTGCGTGTTTCCCAGATGGCTGCCTGTGGTCCCGTCAGCGGGACTCCCACCGAGGCCAGAGTCCCTGGCTTGAATGACTTCACAGATGAGAGAGCCCCTGGGGGTTAGGCTGTGTCCCTGCACAAACCCAGTTGTAGGCACTGGCCGGTGCCCTGGAAATTCATGTCCCCCTGCCACGAGTCTTGGAATGGGGCCTTTTGTGCAAATGGGGTCTTTGCAGGTGTGATGAAGGGAAGGATGTGAGAGGAGCTCATCCTGGATCGGGCCAGTCCTGAATGCAGAGTCAGGGGTCCTCGTAAGACACTGAGGAGGAGACGTAGACACCGAGAAGCTAACCCTAACCCGGCCTCCCCAACATGCTGGAGGACAGCTGTGGCCCTGTGTGTACTTCCTGGTGACCCGAGTCACTGGTGTCTCCCCTCCCCCTGCCGGGGGGGCTGTTTTCCTGGTGGGGGCATGTTTTCTGTGGATCCTAAGTGCTCTGCATGTAGTCGAGATGGGGTTTGGGGGTAGGTGTCCTGGGGATCAGCAGGGAGTCATTCCGGGAGGTGAGAAGGGACCAAGGGCCCAGAGGTGTGCCCGTCCTAGGGTTCCATCCCCTGGGCGCCCCTCAGAACATGTGGCCTCCGCGGAAGGTGTGGGCCGAATAGCTCCCTTAGAGGGCAGATGTGGGGGGGCCACAGCTGTGAGGGGCAGGGGACGGCCCAGTGCTGCTGGGGAGGAGCTGCTAGACCCAAAGGCACCACCAGTCTGGGTGGCTGTGGGAGTGTGCCCTGGGCTCCTTTAACGAAGGACCACAACCTGGGTGGTTCCTTATCACACACGGCTGTGACCTCACAGCTCTGGGGCCCAGAACTGGGCACGTTCTGACCTCTGAGTGCCTGTGGGGCCAGCTCCTTCTGGAGGCTCTAGGGAAACTCTGTTTCTCTGCTGTGCCCGGCTTCACGGGGCCCCTTCCTCTACCTCGAAGCCCGCAACGTCCCTTCTGCTACCGTCCTCTGACTCTGACCACATCTCCCTGTTATGAGGTCCCTCAAGGCAAGATCGGGCCACCGGGTTATCCAAGAAGATCTCCCGCTCGACACTCGAAACTGGTCTGCAAATTGCCTTCTGCCGTGTGGGATGACACGTCCCCCTCCAGGGGCTTTGGGGGGAACCTCTTGGAGGATCACGTTGTGCCCACCATGTGGGCATTTGGACAAACGCGTCTTGGGGATGTGTTTGGGATGTTAGTTAGCCCAGCTTGGGGACATCCCACCGTTTCTGGTCCTGTGTTCCTCGTAACTTTTTCACTGGGGATCGTGTCCACGTGTCCCAACAGAACTCTGTGCTTTCATCGTGCACGAAAACCGGCCAACATCCAGGGATACCGTGGACGGGACACAGGACACGGGAATCTGGCCTGATTTGCGCTGTTAGCCGCGTGCCGGCTAGACCCGCTCATCCCCTGATCGGGACGCCTCCTTACAGAAACTGGAGCTGGTCTGATCGCGTCCCTCTCTGAATACGGGACTGTGATCCGTTGTCGAGTGGGTCCCCAACAGCACGTTGTGCTGGGTTTATTTCTTTCCAGACCTCGTTCCTATATAACACACGTCCATTAGCACCTCGTAGAAAAAGTCCCCCTTTCTTACTCTGCTTTACAGAGGTTTCTGGGAAACCTTAAACTCTTTTTGGTGTGGACGCCTCCGGGAACCAGGAGTACATCCCGGGCTCTGTGGGGAGACGGCCCGCTTTGCACAGGGCTGTCCCCACGGTGATGACTGGGGTCCCCCACCAGGGAGGTGCCTGGGGTCCCGGTGCTCGTCCTCTGCGTCCGTTTCCGCTCCTCTGTCTCGTATAAGGACCCCCGCCCCTGGATTGAGGCCCCTTGGCTCTGGATGACCCTCCGCGCACTCTGCAGCCGTCCGGTGGGCGTGCATCTTGGGCGACAACCGGTCACGCCTGACGCTGTGCGTTCCCCACGTGCCCTCGGAGCACACAGCCCAGGAGGCCGCGCGTGCGATGTCCCCTGCTGTCTCCTTGCAGGAAGCCACGACACCATGACCTACTGCCTGAACAAGACGTCGCCCATCTCCCAGACCCAGTCCCAGCTGCTGCAGCTCCTGGGCAAGGTCCTGCCCTGCGTCACCCGCCCCGTGGTGCTCCGGTGGTCCACCACCCAGGTACTGGTCAGCAGCGGGGGGACCCGCGTCATCCCAGCGGCGAGGTGCCCTGATCCCTGTGAGTGGGGGGAGTGGAGTAGAAACTGGACCCCGCACCCGCCCAGCAGACATGCACAATCCGCAGGACCCCCGCAGGACCGCCCCAGGGGTCAAGACCAGGAGGCGGGGTCTGCAGTTTGGGAGGTGGGTGGGGCGGGAGGCAGGCCCTCACTGCGGAGGCTGGAGGCCGGCATCTTCTGCCTCCAGGTGACCTTAAACAGCCCTCAGTCCTGGGAAACACCCCTGAGCTGTGTGGGTGTCCCGAGGTCTGTTTGGAGATGTGCTCGCCTGTGAAAAGGATGACACAGAACGGCAATGACCAGTTTCTGTAGGGAATGCCAGGGGACA